CAACTGGACCAATAAGCAGCATTATGATAAACGGAGAAAATACTGAAATTGTCAAGGATTTCATTTTACTTGGATCCACAATCAACACCCATGGAGGCAGCAGTCGAGAAATCAAATGACATATTGCCTTGGGCAAATCGGCTGCAAAAGATCACTTTAAAGTGTTAAAAAGGAAAGATATCGTTTTGAGGACTAAGGTGTACCTGACCCAAGCCCTGGTATTTTCAATTGCCTCATATGCATGCGGAAGCTGGACAATGAATAAGGTAGACTGAAGAAAAATGGATGCTTTTGAATTATGGTGTTGGCGAAGAATACTGAATATACCATGGACTGCCAGAAGAACGAACAAATCTGCCTTGGAAGTACAGCCAGAATGCTCCTTAGAAGCAAGGATAGTGAGACTATGTTTCACATACTTCGGAGGGACCAGTCCCTGGAGAAGGACATCATGCTTGGTAGAGTGACAATGAAAAAGAGGAAGACCTTCTATGAGATGGATTGACACAGTGGCTGCAACTATGGGCTCAAATATAGTAACAATTGTGAGGATGGTGCAGGACTGGGCAGTGTTTCCTTCTGTTGTACACAGGGTCTCGATGAGTCGGAACTGACCCGACAGCACCTAACAACAACTAATAAATATTCACCATGCTTTAAAGTAAACTTTAAATTGCAGGTTCCTTAGAGACAGGAATCATGTTTTTATTTTTCTTTTTTAAAAAAAAATCCCCTGCAAGGCTTCGCTGAATGTTATGGAATATGTAGATATTATTGCTGAATACAAACAATGGCTTAACATTTTCAATCCTACCTTCTTACACCATGTGAGTGTCTCAGGGTCATCTGTGCTAGGATAGTGTAAGTGGTCGGGAGGCAGGACCATAGCTACGGAGGCTCTTGGTCCATCACCTCACCCCAGACTACATGAAACCAGATATTTCATACATGCTTTTTGACATGCCTTTACCAGTCTTGGCAGCATGTGATATTTTCATGTTTGGAGATAAGTATATATTTTGTACAAATTTTCAAAATAACAACTATTTAACCTTGGTCCACCCTTGAACAGCTCTCTGGAGACTGGGAGACCACACCTGGGCAATCAAGGTGCTCTGATACAGAGGAGAATCTTCCTGTCAATCAGCAGGTGAGCTGTTAGTCCCAGTGCTGCCCCTGACTTCACAGGTGGTTGTTTAGATCATTCAACTCTCAGTGATTCTGGAAAACTGGGGAACTACTAACCATCTCAGGTTCAGAAATAATTAATCAGATGTCTGTTTTGAAAAACAGGCTCTGGAAACAAAGCTTAATTTGATAGTGTATTTTTATAAAGATGCATTTAGAAGTAAAAAGCTTCCCACCTCGAATCACAGAAAAATACCTTTTCGTTAGTTTTAAAAAATGAGATGCTTTTGTTCAAAAATTGAGTATTTATTGTTCCAGAAGGTACATTTCTTTTTATACATATTTCATAAATGATACAGGATTTTACACATGTTCAGTATTTTGCTATTTGTTTAAAGGACTTTTCTCCACATCCTCCCTCCCTTGCCTCCCACACACCCTGAAAGGATTTGCTCACTGCATTGTGTTGTTTCTTCTTAAAAACTCTGCACAAACAGGATAAATGGTTTAAAAATAATTCACACAACTTAAAAAAAAAAAAAAGAGGGAAGGGGCTGCTGATAGGGGGTGGGTGGAGGAAGGAAGTGGGAGATGTGGAAGTGGAGCCATGCATCCTTTCATTCCATCATGCCAGAGGGAGGGGCAGTGGCAGGAGCAGCAGCAATCCTGGCTGGCCTTCAACCTCCGCAAGGCACCTGGAGTCTGGGTTTGTCATTTAAAGTTTTTCTTTTCATACACAATAATCCCAAAGGAGGAAGACAAAGAGAAAGCAAACCCTTGCCACAAGGAGGGATGAATCATGTGAAAGAAAAAAGCCAATCAATCACCTGTGTGGCAAGCCCCATCACCCTTTCCATCCTGCCCCACTGCAGTTACAAACAGGATATCAGACACAGACCCCTTTGACTCTTCAGATGCAGATGTCATCTGGAAATATGGTATAAAACATTTTGAAAGAGTGTAAGAGTAATTCTTCTTTCTCTCAATTTAAGATAAGAAAAAATAGGGTGGAAAGGGTAAGGCTGAAGGAAGACATAGAAACGTATTCCTGTATAAAGATAAACTGCACCCTTTGAGATCCACATACTTGATTTAAAACTACAGAAGTGGTGGAGGTGGAAGGGCTCACAAACGAGGTGAAAGTATGCGTCCTTTGGGATTAATGAAGCCTCCAGACAAAGCAGTGCCATCTGGGTGGCCTGGAATGCCACCACACAAGCAGATTAACAGCAATGAAATTATTCTGGTTTTGAAATGGCTACAGAGCCATGATTTTAGCCAATCTGTAAACCTTACATGGTCTTGATTTGGTAATTACAGCTGAACATTCCCCCTCTGATGTGAGAGTTATGGAGGGCTAGGGGGATTTCCACGGGGTAGGTAAATAAAGGAGGGAAGTTCTTCCTCCTCTTAAGACACTAATTAGTAAAAAACGAAACGAAACAAAACAACCTCATGCAGCATTGCCAATGATTTCTAGATACTGACCCAGAGCACTGGGATATGCAGACATTTAAGAAGGTGTTAAGGGATAATCCAAAGTGTCAATCATCAGTCAGAAATTGGTTCCAATTATCATATGGATAAAATTAGTGTAATCAACAGGCGTAGCTGGTCAGCCAAGGGGTGCAGGAGGAGAAATTCCCGGTAACTCTGCAGAGACTGGGTCCAATCTAAAATCACTGTTAATGATACGGGCTCAGACTCTGTCGGCCACCCACGTATCCTGAGGATTTGCTTTTCTGGTATATTTATTTAGTTCTGTGTCAATAATAAGAAAAGTTAAATTAAAAAAAATCAGAGCTGAGTGGGGTGCTGGTGTGTTACTGTTTTGCTGACCCTGCAAAGAAGATGCAAGAAACAAACACCCCAGCGTCGCTGTCTCCTTATGAATCTCTCAACTATGGAACTGAATCATTGTCATCCAGAAACTGCGATGCTTGACTGAGACAATATTCACTAAGCCCTTTGAGACTGACATCCCACAATGCCTGATCCTCAGATTTTAGCATTCCTTTTTCCCCTAAGTTCCTTTTCTTTTTGTTTTTTAATTAAAGGTAAAAACCCTCCACCCCCACATAGCTCCCAGCTTCCACCTGCAATGCTTTAATTACAAAGGCAAGAATTATAAACAGGTGTTCTTTCTGCCGGGATTCCAGGGCTCTTTGCAGATCAATCTTTTTCACCAATTTGTCGGAGGGGCAGATGTACTTGTAATGGGTCTCTCAGTCTCTTAAGGTCCATTTCTGCCTAAAATAGAAACAAAAGGTGAGAAAAACTGCCTAGTGAAGCTTTCAATGATATTACTGTCTGCTGAGAAAAAGAAACTGTCTTGACACCATAACTATGAATCAGAGAGATCATCTCAATTATTCCCAAAATAAGAGTGCCTAGGAAGACAAAAAGGCTTTACCCGAAAGCAGGAAACAACTAATGGGGACTCAAAAATGTGTGGGAGCATCCGAAACATACACCAGAGAGAAGCCATCTCATAAGCCTTTGCTTGGAGGTAGAACTTTAATTTATGCTACTCAAGGCTTTAGTTACACATCCAATAGCTGTGTAAGTTTTTCACTTAAGCCAGTTATTTTTAAACAGGGAATGCAGTCAACTGCAGCACTTTAAAAACTCATACATGCTCAGGCCTCAGCCTGAGGAGTTTGATTAATAGGCCTAGGGTAGGGCTGAAATATCTATATTTTTAATAGTTCCAGAGATGATTCTCATGCATGCCCTCGAGCTGAGAAGCACCACACACAGCAATGGAAGACGTAAGTCCATTTAGGCTGAGGCAGGAAAATGGATTAAGCTTATTCAACACAACCCAACCACCAATTGTGATGATTAAGGTTATGTGTCAGCTTGGCTAGGCCATGGTTCTCAGTGGTCTGGCAGATATTATGTAATCATTCTCCATTTTGTGACCTGATGTGAGCAGCCAATCAGTTGAAAAGGGAGTTTCTGTGAGGGTGTGGCCTACATTCAATATATATGAATGTTTTGGCAAAGCTTGCCCTCTCTCGATTCTGAATCTGACTCACCATCCTCTGACCTCCAGTTCTTGGGATGTGAGCCAGCAGCCTGCCGTCTGACCTGCAGATTTTGGGATTTTTCAGGGTTCATCAGCCCCTGCAACCATGTGGGTCAGGAGAAGCCTCCAGCCTGATGCCTGACCCATGGATTTGGGACTTGCCAGCCTCCACAACTGTGAGCCATTTCCTTAAAATAAATCTCTATATACTGATATGTATATGCTTCGCTGGTTTTGCTCCTCTAGAGAATCCAGCCTAAGACACCAGTAAAAGACTAGAGAGGGTCCAGAGAAAGGCTACTAAACATTAAAGAGGATAGAAGAGCTTCTTCAAGAGCAAAGACTTCTGAAAAATCTCTAAAGTCACAAAAGACTACAGATGAGGATTTGTTCATTAAAATCAAATATATCAGAATGTGGGAGGCACTCTAAGAAATTTGAAAGCAGTAACTTTAATGGAAAATAAAATACATCAGTCTTTTTAAAAAGCATCTTCTAGTTCAATAATCTCTGACCTGTGGCTGGCAAAGATTTCTGGTAGTTATTTTTATCTTCTGTAGATTTTATTTTTGCCCCACTGAGAAATCTTTGGGTCAATTATTGTAGAATGATTATAAATAAGAGAGAAAAGTAAAAAATATACAACTCTAAAGAAACAAAATGTAAACAAAAGTAAAAATAGGTCTAAAAATTTCAGTGTGCTCATGTTAATAAACTAGATGGGACCCACCATCTTTTCATCTGCTTGTATTATAAAACTTTCTAGTGAGGTGTCCATGCTAAAATAGTCATTTTTATCAACAGGAATAATTCACCCAGGAAGAAGAGGGATGGATCATTCTTTCAGAGTTTACCCACTTGAAGTATTATACTTATGGATAATAATGCCACATAAGATGGGGCTAGAATTTATTTCCTTTTTTAAGAAATTATATTTTATTGTGTTTAAGGTTAAAGTGTACAGAGCAAATTAGGTTCCCATTTAACAATTTTTATACAAATTGTTCTGTGACATTGGTTCCATTTTTCACAATGTGTCAGCATTTGTATTATTTCCATTCTGTTTGTTCTGTTTCCATTAATCTAGCTTCCCTGTCCCTCCTTACCTTCTCATCTTTGCTTGAGGGTAAATGTTGACCATTTGGTCTCATATAGTAGATTATTTAAGGCAGCACAGTAACTCACAGGTGATATTATAAGCTATTATTTGGATGAAAGGCGACCTCCAGGAGTGGCTTCAGTTCCAAGTTCTAAGGATATCTTAGGACGATGGTTTCAGGGGTTTGTCTAGTCTCTATTGGTCCAGTAAGTCTGGCTATTTTTAGGAATTTGAGTTTTCTTCTACATTTTTGCCCTATTCTATCTGGGACCTTCTATTGTGTCCCTGGCGAAAACAGTTGGTAGTGGTAGCCAGGCACCATCTAGTTCTTCTGGTCTCAGGATAGATGGGGCCGTGGTTTGTGTGGGCTATTAATCCTGTGGACTAGTTTCTTGAGTCTTTGGTTTCCTTAATTCTCTTTTGCTCCAGACAAGTACACAGCAATTGTTACATCTACTTGTGTAACCACGCACTTATTTTTTGGTTGTTATTATGTTGTTACAAAATTGTATGTTATAGCATTTAATAAAACTGTCCCTTATTCTTGCCTACTTCTTCGTGTTTTCATTTACCTTGGTCAAGTTGTGCCAACTTCACCCATATTGGATATTGCTTTTCCCATCACTAAAAATAACAGTGTCTGCTATCTAGAAAGCGATTCCCCCTCCTTCCCCTTCCCATCCCTGGTAACCATCAAAGAACGTTGCTTTCTGGGTGTATACCTATTCTTGTCTTTTTATAAAGGTGAGACCATACAGTATTTGTCCTTCTGTGATTGACTTATTTCACTCAGCATAATGTCCTCCTGATTCATCCATGTTATGTTTCGAGGACTCATCATTATTCTTTATAGTTCTGTAGTATAGGATTTATTTTTATTCTTGCAAAACTTACCTGAGCAATTGCATCCTTGAGTTGATTGTATTTCTCTAGGTCAAAACGAGACTTTTTGGCTCCTTTATGGAAAAATAGTAAGTATTGTCTGTCTCTGGCTTCTGGATAAACATATTCCTACAAAAATAAAGGAGAAATGGAATCATTAGTGCTTAGCATACTACCTTCACAAAATAAGCATCTACTATTGGTTAGATTCAACACATATGCACACATATAAAGACATATACTGTAATGTGCTGTGTTAAATATTTAATTATTTTAAAAACTTTTTTTTTACTGTGGAATACATATGGAAGAGTACACAAAACAAAAATGTATATCACAATGAATCATCACATAACAGACACCCCAATCACCACCAGAGAAAAAAGCAGAACACTGCCAACACCTGGAAGCTCCCTCCTGCCCCCTCATATTGTTTTTGTGCTTTCTTTATAGCTTTCCTACTCAAGCATGCACTCCTAAGCTTCACAGTTTACTTCTACCTGTGTTTTTAATTTTCAAAAATGGAGTCTTACAGTATGTATTGTGTCTAGCTACTTTCACTCCATATTTTGTTTACAAGATTCATCTATCGGGTATAAAAAAACCCATCGCTGTTGAGTCGATTCTGACCCGTAGTGACCCTAAAGGACAGAGGAGAACTACCCCATAGGGTTTCCAAGGAGCGCCGGCTGGATTTGAACTGCTGACCTTTTGGTTAGCAGCCATAGCTCTTAACCACTACACCAACAGGGTTTCCCTATTGGGTATAGTGTAGTCTATTCATTTTCACTGCTATTTTATATTCTACTGTATGACTATATCACAATTTATTTGTCCATTCTATTGCTGATGGACTTTTGGGTTGTTTCCAGGTTTTGGCTATTGAGAATAATGCTGCCATGAACATTCCTGGACTTACTCTTCTGTTGAGTATATACCTAGGAGTGGAAATCCTAGATCACAAGGGCATGCATGTATTCAAATTTAAGAAGTGATGTCAAATGGGTTTCCAAAATGGTTGTACTGATTATATTCCCACCAGCAGGGCATGAGAGTTGCCATCACTGCACATGCTTACCAATACTTGTATTGCCAGTTTAAAAAAAATGTTAATCAGTATGGTGCATGTACACTAGTACTATCTCATTATTTTTCTTTTATAAAAAAATGCTTTACTGAGATATAGTTCACATACCATGCAATTCATCCATTTAAAGTATAATAAATTTTAGGAGATGTTTATCACACCCAAAAGAAACCCTTACCTTTTAGTAGTCACTCCTCATCTCACCCAACTCTCCCAGTACTAGGCAACCAATAACTTACTTTCTGTCTCTATAGATTTGCCTATTCTAGACATTTCATATAAATTGAATCACACAACACATGGCCTTTTGTGTTTGGTCTCTTTCACTTAGCATAATGTTTTCAAGGTCCATCCACTTTGTAACATGTATCAGTACTTCATTTCTTTTTATTGGTAAATACTATTCCATTGTATGGATATACCTCATTTTATTTATTCATTCATCAACTGATGGACTTTTGGATTGTTTCCACTTTTTGGCTGTTATGAACAATGCTGCTATGAACATTCATGTATGAGTTTTTGTATGAACATACACTTTCATCATACATATACATAATTATGGTTTTAATTAGCATTTTCCTTATTGCTCATGAGGTTAAGCCATTTTCATATATTATTATCCATTTGCATATCATTTTTTATGACATGCCTATTCAAATCTCATCTTTTTTTAAAAAAAAATTTGTTTTGATTATCTGTTCTTTTCTTACTGATTTGTAGGAATTGTTTACATTATTCTGGATATGGATCCTTTATTGGATATATGCACTGCAAATATCTCCTCCCAGACTGATGTCTTTTAATAAACAGAAGTTCTTAATTTTAATGTAGTCTAATTTATCATTTTTATTCTTTATGGTTAGTACTTTTCATTCAGTTTATGAAGTTATTCCCTAGTCCACAGTCATTAAGATACTCTCCTATATTATTTTCTAGGAGCTTCATTGTCACCTTTCATATTTACATCTATAATCCACTCAGAATTAATTTTTGTTTATAATGTAAGGATGGGGTTAAGTTTCACTTTTTCCACGGATATTCATTTTAGCAGCATTTATCAAAAAAGGCTCTTTTCTTTGCAGTATCATCTTTTTAAAATCAAAAGTTTATTTATATTGGGTCTATTTCTCCACTCTTTTCTATTCCATTTGCCTATTTGTGTATCCTTGTGCCGCTCTCTTAATTACTGTAGTAGTGTTATAACTACTAGTAGTCTTCATATATGATAGAGCAAGTCCTCTCATCTAGTTCTTCTTCAAGAGTATATTGGTTTTCTTGGTCCTTTACATTTCCATATAATTTTAGAAGCAGTTTATTCAAGTCTCTCCTTCCTCCCCATCTCAACCAAACCTGCTGGGATTTTGACTGGGATTGCCCTGAATCTAATAGATGAGTTTGGATAGAACTGACATTTTTACATTTAGTCTTCTAGTCCATGAACATAGTATATCATTCCACTTATTAAGTCTCATTTAAATTTATGTTTTTCTGCATAGAGGTCTCACACATCATTTCCCAGATTTATTTCTAGGTATTTTTTACAAGTTACTTTGAGTTGAATCTTCTCAAAAGTTTCATTATCTGTTTGTTAGTAGCATATGCACTTGATTTTTGTATACTGACTTTGCATCCAATAACTTTATGAAACTTAGTTGATTCTAATCAATTATTTGTATTTTTGCATTCTTTTATGTACAAAACCATATCAGTGATTTGATATGAATATATGAATAGTATCAGTTTTCTTTCTTTCTAATCCTTATATCTTTTTCTTGTCCTCTGCACTGATTAGGATCTCCTATTCAAAGTTGAGTAGAAATGGACTTTTAGACTCTTGTCAGACAACACAGGGACTTTAGAACATGTTACGTCCATATTTCCCCTCCTGACTCATATGCCATTGTTGTGTATTTTAGTTCTCTCTGTATTTTAAATTCTATAAGGGTTTATTATAATTGTTTTATACATTTAATATTTAGATTCACTCACAGATTTACCAGTTTCATTGGTCTTCATTCCTTCTTGTTTTTCTGACTTTCCATCTGTGATTATTTTCCTTTTGCCAAAGAACACCCTTGAGTATTTCCTTTAATGCAGATCTGACCATGATAAAATCTCTTACTATTTGTATGAAGTGTCTTTATTTCATCTCTTTTTATTGATGTGAAATTCATATAAAATTAACCATTTTAAGGTGAGCAATTCAGTGGCATTTAGTACATTCACAGTGGTGTGCAACCGCCACCTCTATCTAGTTTCAAAGCATTTGCATCATCCCAGAAGAAAACCCTGTGTCCATTAAGCAGCTACTCCCCATCCCTTCTGTACCTCCAACTTCTGGCAACGACCAGTCTGCTTTCTGACTCTATGGATTTACCTATTCTGGATATTTCATATAAATGGAATCATATAGTACGTGACCTTTCACTTTTAGTTTTGAAGGATATTTTTGCCTAGTATAGAATTCTAAGTTTGCAGTTATTTTCTTCCAATACAACTAAAGAAACTATTCCACTGTCTTCTGGCTTTCATTGTTATGGCCGAGAAGTCAGTTATCAGTCTAACAGTCACTTTTTTGAAGGCTACCTTTTCTTTTCCCCCTTCGGCTGCTATTAAGATTTTCCCCATTGTCTTTGGTTTTCTGCAATTTTGCTATAATGTGTCTAGATGTGGATCATTATTATTTTTCTTTATATTGCTTGGTATTTGTTGAGGTTCTTAAATCTGTGAATTGATGTCTTTCATTATTTTGGAAAATTCTCAGCTCTTTAAATATTGTTTCTTCACATTCTCTCTCTCCTCTCCTTCTGAGACTCCAATGAAACTAAATATATATTAGACCTTTTTACTGTATCCTCAATGTCTTTTATCCTTTTTTCTGTATTTCAGATATTTTTGTCTTTCTGTACTTCATTCTCGATAGTTTCTTCTGACTTATCTTCCTGGTCACCATTTCGCTCTTTAGTTTGTGTGTAATCTGCTTTTAAGTCCACTCATTAAATTTAATTTCTAGAATTTTCATTTGGTTCTTTTAAAAAAATAATTCCAAGTTATCTTGAAGGTCAATATTATCAACCTTGCCTTTTATCTACCTGAATATAGTAAGTTAATTATTTTAAAGATTATGTCTGATAATGCTAATATCTGAATCCCCTGTGGGTCTGTTTTTACACTTTATTAGTTCAGGAGGTATTTTCTTGTGATCTGTTTTGACATTTGCAAAATTATTTGTGGAAATAATTCGAGGTTTAGGACAATGTTATCTCCTCCCAGGGATGATTTATGCTGCTTCTGCCTGGAACCTGTGAGTATAAGCACTCTGGGATTACTAGTATTCTAGGATTACCTCTATCTGACCAGTAAGTCTGGTCTTTTTAATGAATTTTGTTTGACATTTTTCACCCACTCTAACCAGGACCTTCTATTGTGTTCCTGGTCAGAGTGGTCAGTAGTGGTAGCTGGGCACCATCTAATTCTTCTGGTCTCAGGTTAGGGGAGGCTGTGGTTCATGTGCCACCCAAAGTTTTAATACCACTGTTTATGTACTGTGGCCCTTTGGAGGGGCAGAGGCCATTGTAATATCTAAGATGCTTTTATTCCCCCAAGAACCAATTTCCACCCCCTTGGGGAACAACACTATTTCTGTTGAAAATGCATGGGTTAGGTTGTTGGATGGGTGGTCCATATGCATACTGAAGAAACTTGGGCTGGCAATTCTTATTGTCAGGCTCATTTTACCCATAACAGAAATTGGTACATAGGTTTCACTGAAATATTGGTCAGTTAAATTCAATATTCTACTTGATTTTATGATTTCACTGGACTTATCTTCTAAAGATTCTTTGAAACTTAATATACTATTGGGAGATATTTAAGTTGCTAACAAATACACCATCTCCTTGTAACAACAGTTTAGAAGAATTTAAATGCTATTGAACAGGCATTTTGCTCTATGGACGTTAATTATAGGTACTGGTATGGGAAAAGAATATTTAATGTAGCTCTCTCTACATTTTATTTTGTTACTGTTTTTCCTATTTGTAAGGGAACGAGCTGTTTACAACTGCTATTTTGCAATTTATCACTTGGGGGCAGCAAGAATGTTTGGGAATCACAGAAGTGGAGCATTTAACTAGCAGCACAGATAGGATTTTAAAGATCCCACAATATGATAAGGAAAAGAAAAAAAAGTACTAGCACTGTGTCTAAATCTAATACTTGCATTAATCCTTAGTTCAAGGAAACGTTTACAAAATAAGCAATAATTATGTTCTCCAACATGTTTGTTTTACTTAATAGATTCTGGTTTCCCAGATAGCATGGGAAAAGTGAAATGAGAAGCTTTGTGCTATAGGAAATCAGAAGAGGGAGAGATCAAAGTTGGCTGGAAAGAACTAGTCGAAGGTTCATGAAAAATAAGCATTTATGTAAACCTTGAAATATGACAGGTAGAGGGAGAATTTTCCCAGTTAAATTAATGATGTGAAGTAAGGAATGAAGTGGTACGAAAACTCAGGGCATTTTTGGGGAACAGTGAATGAATATAATTTGGTTTGTTTGGAGCACAGGGGGAAAAAAATACGTATATATATGAGCTGAAAGACATTTGGAAAAGACAGGGTGCAACCAGTTATGAATTACAATGCTAAGGAATTTAGACTTTAATCAACAGATAAAAAGAGGCCATTAAAGGTGTGTATGTACATGAGAGAGAGGAAAAAAACAGAACAAAACAAAAACAGAGAAAGAGGCATGTGCAAACCATGTCTAGAGCTGTGCTTTGTAAGATTAATCTGGTTGTACAGTTTTGTTCAAACGGAGTGATTAGTATGAGCCAGACATGGGACTAGGTGCTTGGGATTCTAGGGAAACAATGGGTCTCTCCTTCCTACTAGACATGTTTGGGAGGCTCAGAGCTTTCATTTTCCCACGGATAAATAGGTCTATGACCACTGATCTAACGACCACAGAAAGAAAATGACTATGTTTAATAGCAGCCATATAAAAAAAATATACGAGGAACAATGCTCAGCTTTCTTCTACTATCTAAAAAAACAAAAACAGTTTTTCATATGTCTCAGCTGTTTCAAATGCTTGTTATTCAAAGGAGTGCCAGGCTGGATCTTTGGTGGTATCACACATATAATAAAAAGTGGTAATAAATTGCTCATACTTCCTAAAGTGACGCTATGAATTTCCAAGCCACTTAAAACAGCAGTGGCAACCAAAATTAGTTCTAGATATTGGTATTTAATAAATGTGCCTTGGTTGATAAAGAATAAGCCAAGAATATAAAGTTATTATGCCATTTTTATCTCCTTTACCTGAAGTAAAACAAATAAAAATCTATACTCTTAACATACTTAGAAGTATATTGCCCAGAGTTTAGTTTAACTATTTGATTAGTTATCACCAATTCTACTATTCCAAGAATAATAAAAATAGAAAAAGTAGAACTTCCCCATCTGACTGTTAGTTACATAGTAATAAAGAGCCGAGCCTCTTTACCTAAACAAATTATCCTACAGCTGATCACTGTCTCTTTTTTCCTCTTATTCTATACTTACTATAGTGTATGTTTCTGAATTTTATTGGTTTATATGGCTCTCTAATAGTCTGTGAGCTCCATGGGGGCAGAAGCCATGTCTTATATTCATCTCTTTATATTTAGCACCTAGAATAGTACCTGATATGTAATTGGCACACATGCATGCACACGTACACACACACACACACACACACACACACACACACACACACAAACACACACACACACACACACACAGACACAGGCTAAATGAATACTTAAGGGGAACTGGTCTTAGAAAGAATATGAGAGAAAAGAGAACTACTCTGATTTTCAAAACTTCATTACTATCTTATAAAAAGTTTCTTGAAGAGGAATTCTCACCTGGCGTGTCATTACAAAATATGCATACATCGCCATGGCACTTCCATAAGTGATGAAGTAGGTGACTGGCTCCATGATGTCCCAGGAATATTCCCACCAGGTGAGCCTGGCCAAAATGCCAAACTGTGTGGCCATGTAGGCAAGTCCACCCCATAGCACCAAAGTGGTCCTCTTCTCAGCTTTTCTGCTAATCTCAATTCGTACCTATGGGGCACACGTAATTAGTAATAAGGCATTTTGATAAAGAACCAATTTAAAGCTCTTATTTAAGTGTCATTAAAGAAGCAGAGCTCGTAATCAAGACACAAGTTAGTCCCAATTCTAGTAAATATAGTTTGTCTTCCTAAATAGTATGTAGTTTTCACTGAACAAAATACCTTACAGGAATAACTTTTTTTTTTTTTTTAGAGCATTAGTGTTTTATGTTTTACTCTAGAAATGGCTGAAAATACTATGAAAATACGGGAATGAATAAGTTAGTTTCGACTGCTCTTCATCCAACCACAAGATTACCTACTTTGAAGGAAAGAAATTCTAACATTCTCTCACTGTGGCTACAAGATTTAATCTATTTTCAGTTTTTAATCAGAGGGCATACAAGGGGGTGGAAAAGGGTTGTTCTGAGGACTAAGTAAAAATCCCCAAAACACCCTCCCTACTCCCACCATTGATGTCAAGTCCATTCTGACTCAAAGCAACCCTACAGGACAGGGCAGAACTGCCCCATAGGGTTTCTGAGGCTGTAAATCTTTACGGAAGCAGCCTGCCACATCTTTCTCCCACAGAGTGGCTGGTAGGTTCCAATGGCTGAGCTTTTGGTTAGCAGCCGAGTGCTTAAACCACTGTGCCACCAAGGTTCCTTAAAGTAAAAATACTTAGCACAATTCCTGGCACACAGTAAATATGCAATAAATGATAATTATTTTGTTATAGCTGGTACACTAAAAAATGCTTTACATTTTCAAAGTACAAACTTAAATCTCATCCCCTTTCACAATTCCTCAGATTTAATTTATCACATTTCAATAGTCTTAAATTTAAATAGAAAACCTTGATATAAGTGTTTATATAGAAATCAGAAAAAATACAATATTAAGAGTATTTATGTCTTTCCTTAATTTCTAATACAGAATTTAATTTCTTAAAATGGAACCACTTATATAATCCTAATAAGGGTAATACATATTCACTGTAAAAAATTTAGAAAAGTATAAAGTAGAAAAATTTTTCTAATTTTTTTACATATCAATCATAATCCTGCTACTCTATTAGCATTTTGGAATATATTCCTTTTTATGTATAAATGTGTACAGATATATACATAACACTTAAAAATTAGATCATAGTTTTATAATTTTCTTTTCACAATGTATCATGACTATCTTCCCACAGCATATCAGATCTGCATAATCATTTTAAATAGCTGCATAGTATTCCATGTAATATTCATTCTTAACTTGGCTAAAATCATTATCTATATTACTCAGAAACTGATTAGCAATTGTTCCAATCTCTGTTTTAAAGGTAGTAAACATGGTTAAGGGTAGTACACTCAGACCTCAAAACACTAGGTCTATTATCAAGGCTCCAAACTATTCCTTTTTAAATCCTTCGTTAACTTTGATTGGAACTTTTTCAAGGGTCAGTTCCATATACTAGTGGAGTTTTAATTGACATAGCTCAATCACATAGAACTTGGAGGAATAAAAGGAAGCATATATGCTCTGGAAAAAAATACAGCTGGAAAGAAGAATCTGAGATTTGAATTTTCACCTTTTCCAGGGGAGCCAGTTGCTCTTTGAGATCCTCTAATCGTTCGATAAGCTCTCTTTCCTTGTTTAACTGGTGCTGCTCAATGCACAGTGTGGTATACAGCTGCTGGACCAGCGTCTTTACATCGTTCAGCGTTGCTGCATTTTCATGGCTTAAGAGGTCTGAAAGAAAGGGGTTAAAAAATTTAAAAAATAAATTATGGCTTAAATCAAGAATTGCTACTCCTGTGGCTTTTGGACACTAAGAACAAAGCAGATTCATACACTACAGTAACTTTAAAGCCAAAATACACAATTATATTCTTGAACATCTAAATGTTACAGATAAGGCTACAGTTAACATTAAGAAAAATATTGCAAATAATAATAATCTTCATTACAGACAAAAAATTAAAGCAATATATTAAAAAAACTCATACAGAGAAGTTTAGAATCAATCTAATTAAAATGCTTATAAAAATGCTGATCTATAATTTTTCTGTGGTCTTGCCATTTTCATTGGTGATTTTTCCCTTCAGTAACTCCTGAGGAAAAAATATACAGTATTTCAAAATTGCAAATACAAAGGTATTTAAACATTAAAAAAAAAAATCTTGTGTTTTTGGTGAAAGTTCACACAGCAAATTAGGTTCCCATTTAACAATTTCTACACATATTGTTCAGTGACATTGGTTATATTTTTCACAATGTGTTAAAAGTCTTGTTTCCATTCTGGTTGTCCTGTTTCCATTAATCTAGTTTCCCTGTTCCCCTTTACCTTCTCATTTTTGCTTTAGGGTAGACATTTAGGGTAAATGTTGACCATTTGGTCTCATATAGATGATCTTTAAAGAAGCATAGTACTCACGAGTGATATTATTTATTTTATGAACCAATCTGTTATTTAGCTGAAAGGTGACCTCTGGGAGTGGTTTCAGTTACAAGTTTAATAGGCCATCTCAGTGACGGTCTCAGGGGTTCCTTTAGTTTCTACTGGTCTAATAAGTCTGGCCTTTTTTTAAGAATTTGAGTTTTGTTCTACATTTTTCTCCCATTCTATCCAGGACCATCTATTGTGTCCCTGGTCAGAATGGTCGGCAATGGTAGCCAGGCATCATCTAGTTCTGGTCTCAGAATAGATGAGGCCATGGTTTGTGTGGGTTATTAGTCTTGTAGACTAGCTTCTTCTTTGAGTCTCTGGTTTCCTTCTTTCTCTTTTGCTCAGATGAGGAGAGACCAATCCTTATATCTTAGATGGCTGCTCGCAAGCTTTTAAGACCCCAGATGCTACTACCAAACTAGGCTGTAGGACATTATCCTTGTGAACTATGTTATGCCAATTGACTGAGTTGTCCCCTAAGACTATGGTCCTGAGCCTTCAAACTCAGTAAACCAATCCTGTGAAGTATTTGGTTATATAAGTCTAGGAAGTCTCCATAACTGTGTCCCCTATGTGCTTTATTACCTATATGAAAATATATTTAGCATACACAAACATTATATACATATGCCTACAGATACACCTATTCATGCACATGTATTAAAAAAAAAACCCAAAACCAAACTCATTGTTGTCGAGTTGATTCTGACTCATAGTGACCTTATAGGACAGTGTAGAACTGCCCCATAGGGTTTCCAAGGAGTGCCTGGTAGATTCAAACTGCTGACCTTTTGGTTAGCAGCTGAACTCTTAACCACTACGCCACCAGGGTTTCCATGCACATGTATACACACACATATCCCTTACGATACAGATACATGCATACATATCTAACTATGTAACCTCACACGTGTATTTTGGTTGTTATTGGTGTTGCTGCAAAATTGTCTATGTTACAGCATTTATCAAAACATCCCTCATTCTTTGTGTATTTCTTAGTGTTATCATTCATCTTGGTCAGGCTGTGCACACTTCACTCACATCTGGTATTGCCTTTCCCATCACCAAAAATAACAAGTGCCTACTATCTACAGAGTGACTCCCCCTCCCTCCTCTTCCTAATAATCTTAACCCTCATAGCTATCACAGTCTTTACATCTTCCCCCTAGCATATCAACCTTTATTTATTTCTGCTGGAGAAAGATACAGGCTAACTGGATGGGCCTCGATATCATGCTCTGCAGGGCATGAAGTTAGGAGAATGATTGGAAGGGTGAAAGATTAAATCCTGTGATTCAATATCCTCTTCTGTGAGTACCATGTGTTTCCAGAAACCTAAAAATTAGGTTTTGAGAATCTAATAAAAACTCAGCTGATCTCAGCTGTGAAAGAATTTAAAAAGAAAGTCACCAGAAGTAAAGCTTTTGTTTTAGAATCTTAGTCTTAAATGTGACATTTTGTTAGGTACAGTATAAGGTCAGCCCTGCTCTCAACATAAGCCATAGTCAGAATTAGCCATGTATTTCAAACATTCTTCAAGAATGTCCTCTGGTACTGTCATTACAGAAATTCAATCAATAAAAAAATTCAAATAAGGGTAGCAAACTGGATTAGAGAAGAGCTGATACAGTAAAATGTACAGCACTGAGCACAGCAGTATCTTGCATGCTTCAGTAAAATGTGCTGAATTAATGAGAACACATAAAAGCAGGAAAACTTTGAGTTCTAGGAGTCATCCATGTCATCAGGGGCTTATTAGTACTAAAACTGAAGCTTACATTTGCACATGGCTTTAAACTTTCCAAAATTACCAGAAGAGAAAACTGAGCTAGAAGGCTGAAATAACTTGCCCAGAATGTCACAGTGAACAGTGGAATCCATGCCTCCTGACTCCCAGGCAAGCTCAGTCCCGTTTCGAAAGAACAATTACTTAAGTAGTTACAAATTATCTATGACTAACAAAACTCTTTCACATTATTATCCCACGTAACAGAACGAGTAAGCTTGGGACCCACAATTTATAAATGAGGAATTTGAGTCCCAGGGAGAAAACATTAACAACGAATTGCAAGTTAATTACCTATCTAGTCACTACAAAGGAAAATTAAAAAAAAATAAAAAATCTGACAAAGGAATGAAGGGAAGAAGGGAGAAAGGGAGGGAGGGAGGGAGAAAAGGAGGGAGAGAGAAGGGAAAGAGGGAGGTAGGAAGGAACCAAATCAAATAGAAACTCTCTTCTTCCTTTTCCTAAGAAGCATAAAAGCATAACAAACAAACAAACAAAAAAACCAAAAAGCAACCCGGTGCTGTCATGTTGATTCTAACTCATAACGATATTATAGGATAGAGTGGAACTACCCTATAGGGTTTCCAAGGCTGTAATCTTTATGGAAGCAGATGGCCACATCCTTCAGCAAAGCAGCTGGTGGGTTCAAACCTCTGACCTTCCAGTTAGTAGCTAAGCGCATAACCACCACACCACCGGGGCTCCTTTAATGAAGCATGGGCATATTAAAAATGACCTAATGTTTATGGACAACCACAACCTAAGGATCTAAATAAAATTTGAAATCAGGCTTGGTGCTTGGTCTGCCAAAAAAGTAAGTTTCTATTTTCTATTAGGACATCACTCACTGAAGACTTGTTGGTTTAAAAATTAATATGCGTATTATGGATTCTGCTGTGCAGAAATTTTATTCTTTTTCTTCTATAGCTTCTGGGTTTTATGTCATAGTTAGAAAGGTCTTCCTCACCCCAAGGTTAAAAAGCAATTCTCTTTTGATTCTTTCAGTGCTTTTAGTATTTATTTTTCTTTTTTAAAATTTAAGTTTTTGATTCAAATATCCTTTAACACAGCAACTCTACTTCTAGGTATTTTTCCTACATAAACATTCATATACTTGACAAATGACATACATTCAAGGTTATTAGTTGCTACAATATACGCTATAGCAGAAAATGAAAACAACATAAAAGTCTATCAATAAATTATTAAATAAGCAGTGAAGTGAATGGTGACATACATTCATATAATGTAATAGAGTGTCTTAGGCTGGGTTCACTAGAGAACCAAGACCAGTGAAGTGTGTATATATACATACACATATATAGACAAGAAACAGAAAGAGAGAGAGAGAGACAGAGACGGAGACAGAGAAAGATTTATCTCAAGGAACTGGCTCATGTGGTTGTAGAAGCTGGCTAGTCCCAAGTCTGTGGGTCGGAGGTCAGGCTAGAGGCTTCTCCTAACTCATGTTGCTGCAGGGACTGACGAATCCAAGATCGGCAGGTCAGATGGCAGGCCACTGGCTCACAGGCTGCAGAGGCTGTCGAATCCCAAGATTGGCAGGCAATATGGCAGACTGCTGGCTTGAGTCCCAAGAACCAGAGGTCAGATGATGATAAGCCAGGTGCAGGATCCAGAGCAAGAGAGTAAGTTTTGCCAGAATGTCCACATATATTGGATGTAGGCCACCTCCTTGAGGAAACTCCCTTTACAACTGATTGGCTGATCACATCATATCATATCATGGAGGATAACTACATCATTACATAACTACCAAACTACATCATTATATAACTGCCAAATCACTGAGAATCATGGCCCAGCCAAGTTGACACACAACCTTAACCATCACAGTCCACTCCCTGTCAACCTGGCAACTGTACACATCTCCTTAAACCATATACAATCTCTAAATAAAGACAATTACAAAGTTATACTTGTGCCTAACATGATACAACTAATGTGTACAACCGAAAATGCGCTAGTTCTGTTTACATCTCATAAGCGAAGAGAAAAAAAAAATTTGATGCACATATACAAGGAAGAAATACTCATAAAAATTACAGTCCTCATTTCTGCAACTGGTCACATGGTCATAACTGGTATTTAGAACTACCTTTTTCCACCACCCATTCCATATTCCCTTTACCCTCAGCAAGAACCTCAGCTGGTCGTAATTCTTAGCCTGGTGGGGTGACCCAAACCTTCATTCCTGAGTGGTCTGGGCCATTAGTAGTCATGTCAGAATTGGGTTGCTGTAGTTTTCCATTGACTTTAATCACAGAGTGTGGTAGTACTAAGAGACACCCTAAGGGACATCCTGTATTCCAGACATGATGTTCTTTACCTCTATTATGCAACACCAATCCGATTTCCCCTTGGTAGTCAGGATCAATCACATCAGCCAATATGGTAACTCCCTTCTTTTCCTGTTGATCCAGAGGCATGAGGAGCCCAAAGTGACTGGGTGGTATTCTTAACTTCCAGTTTAATGGAATCCATGTTGTGTCTTCAGGT